CATACAGATACACATTTAAATATATAGGACATTATATAGAAAAACCTGATAGCAATTTAACTAGAAGCAGATATATCCTGGAAAATACATTAGGAAACATGCATGTGTTCATGCATATGTGTGTATAAATACATATATTTAAAATATATAAAATGATAATTTAACACCTTTTTCTACTTTAAATAACTTCAACTAACATATTTAGGGTTTGAATGCTTATTTACATGAGTCATCACAAAAACACAGGGCCCTCAGATCATTCCTTGCACCACATCCCATACCCCCATGTAACTTTGAATGTCTACTTTTCCCACCCCATGTTCTACTCCCCTCCAGCCCCTGAAAACTTCCCAGGGTATCCTCTAGAAATGATCATTATTTGACACAAATCTTTTCATTTTTTCCAGTGCTGCTTCTCTTTGTGCTCTATCTGAAACCAGGACTTTCCCTAAAATGCTTTTTTCCTGGCAGATAGCTCATGTAATAACTGGTTTATCCCACCTGGACCTCTTCTTATACCATCCATTTCGTTCTTTCTTTTTCTCTAAAAACACACAGCACTGAGTCTCATAAGAATTTACTACTAGGTAACACTCACTTTTTTTTAAAAATATTCACCTGAGGACATTTTTGCATTCATCTTCAGATAGAGCGGGAGGGAGAGAGGGAGGAAGAGAGAGAGAGAAACATCGATGTGAGAGAGACACATTAAGTAGTCGCCACCCACACAACCCCAAACAGGGCCGGAGACAAACTGCAACCGAGGCAACCCGGGTCTCACTGCTGAGTCAAACCGGCCAGGGCGGTAACACACAGTTTTAATTCCTTCAAGAGTTTAGCTCTTGGATCATCATAACTATTTCCAAGAGTTAGTCCTATTATAATTATTGGTGAATTTAATAATTACTTAATTTGTTCTCACAATACCATGGCATCATACCCAGTATTCTATTTTCTGTGGATATTGTTGTTACTTAATCACAATATCTGATTTTCCATTGCCATCTTCCTAGTTGTTGTCATTTCCCAAAAGATCAACTGCACCATAATCATAATTTCAAGCATTCATTTGCTAATGTCAATTCATTTCTAATTTACTTCTAATTTAATATTCTATGACTTCACTGAAATCTGAAATTATACTTTTCTTTCAATGTATCATATACACTTGTTCTAATTTGCTAGGAATGTCTTAGAAAGATACTAAATACAGCCTGGTGGTTTGAAAAACAGAAACTTATTTTCTCCCAGTTCTGGACGCTAGAAGTCTAAGATCAAGGTTTCATCAGGGTTGATTCCTTAAATGAGCTATAAGGGAAGGGTCTGTTCCAAGCCTCCACCCTGCTTTGTATAGATGGTGATGTTTTGCCTGTGGCTTCACATCATCTTCTGTGTGTGTGTGTGTGTGTGTGTGTGTGTGTGTGTCCACATTTCCTCTTCTTATTAGGACACCAGTCATATCCTGGTCACCTTCTGAGGTACTGAGGGTTAGAACTTCAACATACGAATTTGGATGGCGGTAGGGGTGGGGGGCACAATTTAGCCATTAAATCCCTCATTACCTCACGTCTGTTCTTCCCATTTTAGATTTTAGTGAGTCTTAAATATAATTAGTTGTTTACTGTTCTTTGCTCTTTTCCATTTACTCATATAAACCTGGCCAAGCTTAATGTTTGTTAAATTCACTCTTAATCTACTCTATACCAACAACATAAACACAATGGAATGGAGGAAAACACACACACACAAATGTGAAGATTAGTCTCACTTTATTTATTTATTTATTTTCAATTGATTTTTTTGTTTTTTTAGAGAGAGAGAGGAAGAGAGAAAGAAATAGAAACATTGATGTAAGAAAAAAGTATCAATTGGCTGCCTCCTGCACACCCCCTACTGGGGATCAAGCCCGAAATTCAAGCATGTGCCCTGATCCGAAATCGAACCGGGACCTCTCAGTCCATGGGCCGTTGCTCAGTCCACTGAGCCACACTGGCTAGACTGATTAGTATCACCTGAAAAATATGGACACTCACCTCTAGATGGCCCTTCTGTACAGTGTATCAATATACAAAACACCTACCAAACTTTCTTGGAATAGTGATTATCATTCTTATGTGCCCATTAAAATCACCTTTGACACTTTTAAAAGTGTGATGCAAAGACACATTCCAGACCAACTAATTCAGAGTTGTATACTTGCACAATTCTGTTTTTTAAAACTTCACAAATAGTTTCACTGTGCAGCCAGGTCTGAGAACTACTAACCTAGGCCCTTTACTAACCAGGCTCTTAGAGTCATATTTCATGTCTGTCCTACTCTCTTCAAATTTTCAGCATCTCCTCCCCCTTCTTCATAAACAGAAACAGTCATTAGGGAAATGCCGTGATCATCTCTCCATGTTAACCCACTTATCTGCTCTGAGCCTATCCTTGCATTTCTTTCTAAGGATACTATCGGTGTTTTCCCTCAAGCCGTCTCTTCCCCCCACAGCCCACATTCATCCGACTGACACTTCAGCAATTGTTGGCTCTAGAAATGCTCTCTCTTTCTGCATCATCAGTTTTCTATCTCTTCAGAATCACTTCTATCAGCATACAAACCATGTAATTTCTCCCTTCTCAAAACAGAACAAAACCAACAAACAACTATTTGCTTGAATATACACCTTTCCCCGAGTTCTCACAGTTCTCTGTAACTCTTTTGGGCACAACCATGCCAGCCTCATTGTTCCTTATTTATTTATTTATTTATTTTTATTTCATTTTTCAATCTTCACCCAAGGATATTTTGACATTCATCTTCAGACAGAGTGGGAGGGAGAGAGAGAGAGAGAAACATTGATGAGAGAGACACATCGATTGGTTGCCACCCACACAACCCCAACTGGGGCTGGGGACTAACTGCAACCAAGGTACGTGCCGTTGGCCAGAATCAAACCTAGGACTATTGGGTCTGCAGGCCTATGCTCCAGCCACTGAGCCAAACCGGCTGGGGCCTCGTTGCTCCTTAAACATGCCAAACACGCTCTCATCTCAAAACTTTCCATTTGCTCTTTATGTCACCTGGGGTGCTCCTTCCACAGATGTCCTCGTGGCATGCTTTCACAACTCTTTCATGTGTCTGCTCAAAGGACTAACCTGTTCTCCCATTTCCCTTGTTTCCATTATGCTTCTTGATAGCAGCAATTTTCAACCTTTTCCATCTCATGGCACACATAAACTAATGACTAAAACTGCAGCACACCAAAAAATATAATTTTTTGCAGATTTTACAAAACAGTATGTATAATTTTGATTCATTTGCAACAGATGGCTGTTGTGTTGGCTGTTGTCATTTTCTTATTTGATGATCTAAGGAAAAACAGGTCAGCGCCCCTGACTATATAGTCAGGTATTGAATGTTTTAAAAATTCTTAAAGCGCACCAATTGAAAATCGCTGCCCTATAGCAATTTTGGGCCATGAAACATAGTGTATATTTTGCATCTAATTTGCATGTACTTCTGATTTGGGAAGTATGACAGATAAATGCAGTGATTTTTTTTTTTTTTTCTTTTTTACTTTTGGATTCTTAGCAACTACCACTTCCCTGCTACCTCTTTTGTCCATGCCACAGTCAGATTTCATAATCGCTTCTCCCTGCTCTCCTTGTTTCTTTCTCCTTCCCTTTTCCTCCAGGTCACAACTTAGCCAGAAAGATGTCTTTAAATGATAAGTTTCATTACATTTCTGGTCAGTAATTACCCACTGTCTTCCATGTCACTCAAAGTCCACAATCTGTACAACACCCTCATTTTCTGTTCTTCATCATGGCCTTTGAGTTTTTGAAACTCTATTGAGGTCTTGTTTTATTAATTCATGGCAATCTGTTTAGTCATAACTTGATCTGCTCTGTAGTAAAAATTTTTGGTTGATTTTTTTTTTTTTTTTTTTATTCATTAGACTGGAAACTTTAATTATTACACCCAATATTTGTATACATGTACGAAATGGGAATATTAATATTTTACTGGTCAGTCGCTTACTTTCTAGCCATATATATGCATCAAAAGCCTTAGAACATACACATACGTGCGTGTGTGTGAGCATGCACACACACACCCCCTTTATCTCACATCTAAGAACTAAATGGAGGAAATAATACAAGTACAAAAAGATACAAGTAACAGGGATACTACTCACAACAAATCATGGGAAGGAAGCCAATGTTCAAGTCAATGATTAGTTAATACTAAATTATGGTACAACTGAGTACCTACTAAAAGCTAAGTTTCCAAAGAATATGTAAGACTATTAAAAAAATATTCACAGCACACGGGAGAAAAAGGATTAGCAAAAGAGAACAGCATACACACTCTGATCTCATGGGTAGGAGTGAGAAATACCCATAGGAACCTGGAAAAATATATACCAAAATATTAAGATCAACAGTTGCTGGGGGTATATTACAGGTAATTTTGACTTTTCTTTTACTGTTTGATTTCTCCCAAGTTTTTTTTTTTTTTAATATAATAAGCATGTACTGCTTTTTAAATGGGGGGAAAGTAATAAATGATATTGAGGGGGAAAAAAACCTAAGAAGACCCAAAAATCTAGTTATACATTTTCATTCTTCTAATTTTTAAACTACTAAGGGTCATGATACCTAAATCTATGTATAAAAAGAAAAAATGTGTAGGAAGGTATTTTAACATAGTAATAAAGTATTTATCAAATACAAAGGGGTAGAAATATTGCTTTATTGGAGAAGCTTACATCGAATTACTTTTATGTGTTTTAAAAAGTCCTAACGAACATCCAAGAAGAAAACATATACAGCTTCCACAGGAAAAAAGACAAAAAAAAAAAAAAAAAAAAAATGGGGTTGATGACTGCCCCAAATATTTCCTAAAAGAAAAAAATGTAATATTTAGTACTTCTTCTTTTGAGGCAGGGTAAGTGAACTGCACGTCAGACAAAATTTTCTTACTTTACAAGGAGGAAGATATGTGATCCTGTTTTGATGCATATGAAACACAAAATACAAAATCCACTCTTCTGATCAAGATGAGGGGGGAAAAAATCATTCTTCAACAGTTCAATTCTCATGCAATGAAATCCAAAGGTCTGTTTCGATTCATGTACTGCATCATCAATCTAGGCGAGAAATCCAGGAGAAATCTATTTAAAATCTATAATTTGAGCCCTGGCCGGTGTGGCTCAGATGGTTTAGTGTACTCCCGTGACCCATAGTGTCGCCGGCTTGATTCTCTGTCGGAGCGGGTTCGGTCCCCAGTTGAGGTGCGTGAGGGAGGTGGCCGATCCATGTGTCTCTCCCGCCTCGATGTTTCTCGGTCTCGGTCTCGGTCTCTCCCCCTCTCCCTTTCGCTCTCTCTGTACTTCCTCTTCTGAGACACATTTATTGCATAGGCATTTACATTGCCATCCAATCTTTTTCCTTTAGTGGAGTCAAAGGCAGCCAATCCCATTACCTTCATCATTTCTATTTCTTCCTCTGTTTTGCCCTCTGAGTCTTCCTCTGCAGTAATCTGTTGTTCTTCACTCTTTGTTTCCTTTGGTTCCTCATCTTTTCTTCCTTTCGTTTGAGAAGGGGAAGGAGATGTGGATCTGTGTCGTCTTGGGGATTTGGAGCGTTTTCTGTGTGGGGATTGCGAGCGGCTCCTTTTCTGGTCTTTTTCCTGGGACTGGCTCCTTTTCTCATCTTTCTCCTGGGATTGGCTCCTTTTCTCATCTTTCTCCTGGGACTGGCTCCTTTTCTCATCTTTCTCCTGGGACTGGCTCCTTTTCTCATCTTTCTCCTGGGGCTGAGAACTTTCTTGGTTCCCTTGTTCTCTCTCCCTGGAAGCGGACCGGGACCGCTTAGGTTCCATCAGTGGAGAGCGGCTGCGGCTACGGCTGCGACTGCGACTGCGATCCATTTCGAGGCCTCCTCTACCTGATTTTTTTTTTTTATCTTTTATTTCTTTCTGTTCTACTTTACTCATTTTTCTGGTAGTATTGATACTGTTGCAATAACCTGGTTATTATTTAGCAGGAAAAGAGTGAAGGGAAGACTGATAACATAGGCATGTCATGTATACCTCCTTTGTCAGAAAGCTAGTTTGACACTTCAGGTCTATTCGTCGTGTGGGGGAAAGGAGCAGACAAAGGCAGTTTTAGACTCATGCCCCATAAGGTCTGAGTGACATGGGAGGTACCTACCTGTCTGTCACACCTGGAAGCAAGTCAGTGGCCAGAATAGGTGTGGCCACTCCAAGTGCTCAAACCTTAATATTTAATCCACTAGACAAAAAGAAGCTTGCCCGCTTTTCTCTCTCTCTCTCTCTCTGTCTCTCTCTCTGTGTTTCTCTCTCTCTCTTCCTGCTTGTGCCGGACTGCTTGCTGCTTGCGGGTCTCATATGGTGGCCATGTGGCTCATGGCTGTGTGGGACCCATGTATTGGACTGAAGGACTGAACCTAGCCTGATGGCTGATCTCGACCCGGCTGCATCATGGAACCAACACTCTGGCCTCTGGCCCTATTTCTAACTTTGTTAAACCCACAATTGTCCCTCTTCCAGGACTTTCTTGAGGGAACGTGGACACTACAACCCCAGAAATGTAATTCTACACCAATAAAAAAAACATTTATTTTTTATAGGGGCTTCTGAATATGCTTATTCTGACTGTACCCCAAGAACCTCCTGTCCAAGGGTCTCAGAGGGATCTGGCCCCCCCATCCCTCCAGTAACAGTATTTTTGTATAGCTCCTGTATGTTTTTCTTAATCATTATTTATCCTGAAACGGTGTTTGCTTAATTTGGCCACGTATTTTCAAATTTATTTTGTGGCATGGAGATCCAAACCATGATCCAGACTAACAGGAATCTTTAGTACAGAGTTTTGTGTGTTAGTGAGGATTTTAACAGTAAAAGCCAGAGTGGTAATGGTCCTGCAGGCAGCATCTCTGTGCCTTTTCTATGTCCTAGAAGAAGGAATTGCTGTTTTCCCTTCACACAGTGTGATGCTTACTCTGGAGTTGTCTATGCTCTGCAGTCTCTGGTGTCATTTGTGGGACAATCATATATGTCATGTGACTGTCTCACCAATTCACACTGCTTCCTGCTAAACAGTTATTCAATCTCAAGTGTTTCCTATTTCAATTGAATGTAGAACCTGGAATTCTGTTTTGTATTCTTCTTGATAAATTCACATGTTTTCTGAGAGGACAGAGAAGAAACCATCATCTTTACTAAATCATTTAAAATATAATATTTTAAAAATTACATGGAAATGGCTTCTTAATGGAGGAAAAGTTTTCATAAATGATTGATTACTCCAAGTTTCAGTTGGAGTTTCTTGATGCCTTATATTACCAACAATTGTGCATTGGATAGCATAAAATATTTCCTATTTATTTATATATGAGTTATTATGTTGATCCTTTATATACCATTGAAATTGCATTTTCCTTATGCTCCTTAGTGATTCAGGTATAAAGGCACAGATATTTTAAATTTTAAGGCCAGAATTCGCCTCTCTTTCTGAGAGGAGACTGAGCACTACATTTGTTTTTCGATAGTTCATATAAAGAATATACCAGAATTTCTCTAATATGGTTAATAAACACTATGTTGTATTAGGCATTAATTCATTCAAATCTTTGCCTGGAGCATTAGTGAAACGTGTAGAAGCAATTTAATGACCTAGATACCAAAATTTATTAATGTTATAGCCACAGATTTTTAAATCACTTGGAATATTAAAATGTAATTCACTAAGTTTTTCATATATGATATTAAAACTTTTAATAATTAATAAGCCATAACTACTACAAGAACATTCATACCTCATGTTAAAACATGATTTTCTTCATAATAGGATATAAATATTTTACTCTTATTAAATATCATAAGCATTGAAAAATCATTTTACAGTGCTTTAGGCAATAATTTCTGTAACCACAGAGAGGGAGTAATCTGATATATGCACATATGATTATGACTTCTCTTCACAGATACTTTATAGAATATAAAATTGATTTATATCTTAGAATTTTGCATTACACATTAGATTGTTTAATTGCATTTGGGATTTTTTCAAAGTGTTTTGTATAAATCAAAATTTGTTAGTCATATGAGGCAGTAATTAGTGGTATATAGTAGATAGCTAGGGAGGAAGAGACCAAGTCTTGAAATGAAACTCGTATGTCCACACCTATATCGTAAAACAAGAGTAAGCTTTTTGAAAGGGGACTAATTTCTTTTTCCTAAAAAGAAGGTGATGTAAGGCAAAGTTAACATAGTACAAAACACATTTGGTCATAGGAAGATGATGCATTTTGAACACATCAGCATTTTCATTTCCAATTCATTTCTAGGAAGAACTATTTATATAATCATATCTATGTTCAAGTAAGGACAGGTTGAAATTAGAGGGTGTTTATTTAAAAAGTGAACACATTTAAGTCTTTGAGGTATAAAACCCATTTTTTTAATCTCATATAGTTTGCTTCATAAAAATATTCAAGATGCAATTAAGATTTTATTTTTTGGAAAATGTACCTCATGGGAGCAAGTTAATGGCACCTGCGGTACCTACAAAAAGGAATATGATACATAAGGGAACAATGAAAACACACAATGAAAGAGAAAATGGCACCCAGCTGAAGTAGCATCCCCTTGAGATTGGAAGAGGAAATGTAACAGCACTGATATTGGTGAGCAGAGATCATTAAAATCTCTTGTCCTGCTCCTTTCTGTATCCACCACTCTCTTTCTATAAGAAAGGGTAAATAAAGTTGAACGAGGAAGACTATCTTCTCCCTAGAGAGCCCTTTCACAGTGCTGGCAATAATTGCCTCTTTGTCTCTAAATGGAATTGTGTCTTTTTGTCCTGGAGGTTATTGGAGTCTTGCTGATGCACTATTTGTTGGTCTAAGAGTTCACTAATTCTCAGAGGGAAAATTTTATTTCTTAAACCTCAAGTAGCTACTGCAGCATGTTAAATTATTAAACACTAATATAAAAGAAAAAAAAATGTTATAAAGGAAAAATCAATAGACAAATACTTCAGAAGAATAAGATGCCAGTCACGTAATATTAACAAAATAAATTCATATTTACAGAAAATGGAAGAAAATTGAATTCAGAAATTTCACAAGAGGTATTAATATTTAAATTGATCTGAAATTTTGAGAAACTTTTATAAAAACTATTAGACACTTTTATTAATATAGTTGAATGCTGTGAATCCCATTTAAAAAGTATATACTTACTTAACAAGAAGGACTAGGGACATTAGCATTCTTATATTTCTTTTTACCCCTTGCCCATAAAGGTTTTTATTGCTTTTATACCTAAACTGTTTACAACATTTGCATTTTGTTCTGTGGATATTATTTCTTTTTAATTACACCTTAGTCTACATGTTAAAAGATTTAATATTCATCATGATTCCATTTGCCACAGCTGCTCCTTACTGAACTCTTTATTTTGATTATTTATTTATGTGACTAGATATTAAATTACTAGTACTTTTGGTTTGTTGAATTAATTCAAGAGATAGAATAAATAGAAGAGGCATTAGAGGCTTATAACTAAACATAAAACAGTGTGCATTTTATAATTGTTGTGGAAAAGTAAGCTTTATCAGCAGGTACTAATATAAAAGGTCTTGTCACTAAAATATTTTTAACTTGCAAAGACACAGTTCACATTTCCCATGAGGGGGTTGTAACAGATAGTCTTAGTTCCAAATGACATGGCTTTTGTTTCACAAATATTAGGAAACAGGCACAACAAACTCACCATCCATCACCAGCAACCAAGAGACATACCTTAAAACTGTAAAAAATAATTAAGCCAGCTTTTTCTAGGAAATTGTACTGATAGGAACTTAAAGAATTCTGAAATTTAAGGCAAAATAATTTATATTCTGCAAAGTTAAATGTCTACTCATAACCCAGAGAAAGCAGAAGAGAGGAAATAATAAAGACGATAGTAGAAATAAATAAAAATGAAAAAAGAAAACCAAGAAAGTCAAACACTATTGCAGTTTTTGGAAGAATCAATAGAACTGATAAATCTCAACCAGGCTAACCACGGATAAAAAGAAAAAATACAATTTTCCATATTAGGAACAAAGGAAGGAATAACATCTCAGTCTTTACAGACATAAAAGGATTGATATAGAATAAAACAAACTAGCTACATAAATTCATAAACTTAGATAAAATTGACAGATTCTTTAAAGACATAATCTCACAAAATAAATAACCTAAATAGAAATTGAATTTTTATTTAAAGTTTGCAAAAAAGTAAATCCCAGACTCATATGACTTTACTGGTGAGTATAAGGAAGAAATCATACCAATGTTACAGTTTCCTTCAGAAAATTAAAGAGAAGAAATCACTTCTGAAATTATTCTTGAGGTTTGCTTTATTGTAGACATTTATATAGACATTACCAGAAGAGAAAAACCCAAACCAATATTATTCATGAACATAGATGAAAAAATTCTCAACAAAATGTTAGGAAATTGAATCCAACAATATACAAAAAAGAATATTATATCAATACTAAATAGAGGTCTACCTCAAGAATTCAAGACTGTATTACCATTTGGAAAATTTATATGTTTCACCAAAATAATAGGCCAAGAAAAAATTAGATTAACTCAATAATGCAGAAGCAGCATCTGGTAAAATTTAATGTTTATTCATAATAAAAACTTTCAGCAAGTAGAATTGGTGGGAACTTTCTACAACTGATAAAGATTCTTTATAATTAACCACAGAGCCAACATATATTTAATGGTTAAAGACTGAATGTGTTGCCTCTATGACTGACAAAGGCCAAGGCTGTCTTTTCTTGCCACTTTACAGTGCTAGAATTCCTAGGCAATATATAAAATAAATGAAATACAGATTGGATGCTA